GCCGTGGAAATAGCTTGGGGAAACTTCGCTGGGAGGGAGCGAGACCGGATGCTGGACGGGATGAAGCCGTGGAAATCGCTTAAGGAAACTTCGCTGGGAGGGAGCGAGACCGGATGCTGGACGGGATGAAGCCGTGGAAATAGCTTGAGGAAACTTGGCTGGGAGCAAGCGAGACCGGATGCTGGACGGGATGAAGCCGTGGAAATAGCTTGAGGAAACTTCGCTGGGAGGGAGCGAGACCGGATGCTGGACGGGATGAAGCCGTGGAAATAGCTTGGGGAAACTTCGCTGGGAGGGAGCGAGACCGGATGCTGGACGGGATGAAGTCGTGGAAATAGCTTGGGGAAACTTCGCTGGGAGGGAGCGAGACAGGATGCTGGACGGGAAACCGTGGTAAATAGCTTGGGGAAACTTCGCTGGGAGGGAGCGAGACCGGATGCTGGACGGGATGAAGCCGTGGAAATAGCTTGGGGAAACTGCGCTGGGAAGGAGCGAGACCGGATGCTGGACGGGATGAAGCCGTGGAAATAGCTTGGGGAAACTTTGCTGTGGGAGGGAGCGAGACCGGATGCTGGACGGGATGAAGCCGTGGAAATAGCTTGGGGAAACTTCGCTGGGAGGGAGCGAGACAGCACGCTGGACGGAGAGGAAACCGTGCAAATATAGCTTGCGGAGAGCTTCGCTGGGAGGGAGCGAGACAGCATGCTGGACGGGACACAAAACAGGGGCAATAGCTTGCATTGAGCTTCGCTGGGAAGGAGCGCGACAGCATGCTGGACGGAGAGGAAATAACGTGCAAATAGCGTGTGGAGAGCTTCGCTGGCAGGGAGCGAGACATGCTGGACGGACAGGAAACGTTGGAAATAGCTTGCGGAGAGCTTTGCTGGGAGGAAGCGAGCCAGCATGCGGGACGGAGAGGGAACAGTGCAAATAGCTTGCGGAAAGCTTCGCCGGGAGGGAGCGAGACAGCATGCTGGACGGAGGGGAAACCGTGGAAATAGTTTGGGGAGAGCTTTGCTGGGAGGAAAGCGTGGAAATAGCTTGGGGAGATCTTCGGTGGGAGGGACCGAGACAGCACGGCTTTTGCACACAGAATCTTGTACACACAGACGCGTTCACACACAGGAGGTTTTATACAAACAGAAGACTTTACGGCGCACAGAACTTTTATATACATAGAGCAGCTTTTACGCAGCGAAGCTTGTACACACAGGACAAAGGGGAGCTTTTTTACACAGAAGCTTTTACATAGGGTTTTTTTATACACAGAAGCTTTTACACACAGAAACCTTTACACACAGAAGCTTTACACACAGAAACTTTTACACACAGAAACTTGTACACACAGAAGCTTTTACACAAGCCTTTACACAATGGAGCTTTTACACACAGACAGGTTTACACAGAGGAGTCTTTACGCACGGAGGCGTTTACACAGGAAAGCTTTTTCACACAGAAGCGTTTACACAGAGTAGTTTTTACGCAGAGAAATCTTTACACAAAGAAATCTTGACACAGAGAAGCTTGCACACACACACAGAGGCTTTTACACAGAGAAGCCTTTTACACAGAGCAGCTTTTTCACCGAGGAGCTTTTACCCAGAGGAACTTTTACACAGAGAAGCTTGTGCACTCAGAGGCTTTGACACAGAGAAGTCTTTTACTCAGAGAAGCTTTTGCACACAGAAGTTTTACACAAACAAAATCTTAACACAGAGGAGCTTTTACATACAGAAGCATTTATGCAAAGAATCTTTTGTACAGAGAAGTCTTTACCCATTTTTCATCATGTCTCATTTTTCACTATCATTCACCACCTATCAACTTCATATCTTCGTTTTCATGCTCTTTTGGTCAGCTCCCTCCGTCGTTTAGTTTTCATTTTGCACGGTGTTCTGTCCGTCGACGCTTCGTCCTCGCTCCCTCTGCGGCGAAGCAAACTAAACGAGAACGCAGGAATTATAGCGGCTAAAAAGATGGGATAGAGTTAATTACATTAGCAGAAATAGCGACTAGAAGAATGTAGACGTAGCTGACACAGCATGCTGTGGTGAATTGCGGCCCCTGATACCATCAGCGCGCACGATGTTTCAGTAAAGATCTTACGTCGATTTCGTGCAGAGCACACACCACAAGATTTTCAAAAAAATCGTGCTGTGTGCCGTCTTGCTTTTGGGTTCTCTGGCCCACCTTGTTTTGGTTCAGACACAAAAAAATCCCCAGTAATCAAAGGTGGCTTGCTGGCAAATCCCACTAGCCATGGAGGTTTTGGTCGCTGGGGACATCATCTATAAGTGGAGGACTTTCCGTTGCGTTTGATTACTGGATGGTCCTGGATGGTCCTGGATGGTATCAATCTCCCCATATTTTGGATGGTTAAAATCGGTTAAAATCCTCATAGTGGATAGCGAAATCCCCATTATCCATTCAACAACTGATGACCTGAGCTGGTTGGTGGTTGAGCCACCCCTCTGAAAAATATGAAAGTCAGTTGGGCATATTATTCCCAATATATGGAAAAAACAATGTTCCAAACCACCAACCAGACCAAGTGAACCACTAGGACTTTTGCTCGTGTCGTGTCCTCCCTGCTGCAGGCCTCCGGGACTGTCAACGTCGCCAACTTCATGGTCCTGTCAGGTCTGACAAAAATCCTTGGGAAATGGAGGTCCGGGCTGTTCCCATGTGGGAGAATTCCTATGGTAGACATTTTTGATACCCTCTGGTAAACGTTTACATAACTGATGGGAAAATCACCATGCTATGAATGGGTAAATCCACTATTTCAATAGCCTTTTTCAATAGCTTTTTGTATGTTTACCAGGCCGGGTATCCTCCCAGAATATTCCCACAGATTCTGTCATTGCTGGCGCTTCCTTGGGACCAAGAGTTCTGGCTGGCGATTTTTAGTAAACTCATCCGTCCATTCCTGGGGTTCAATAGTTCTTGACCTGTAACTCTGGGATTTCGGAACCTCCTCTGCCAATCAAACATGGCTGGAAAGCAACCTGTTCTTGCGGGATCTTGAAAACAAATTCAACCAAATCAACCTTTGGAAAAACCCGCAGCAAACATACTAGCTCTGCAATTTTCTCAACATTTACAATGGATTCCCTGGTGGATTCCCAAAAATAAGGAACACCGAACACCATTGGTGCTTTCGTTTTTTCAGTCGAGACAGGTGGACCAGTTGGGCGCCGGCCGCTCCACATTGGGTTCCTTGGTGAAGAGATGAGTCGACTGTTATGTTTTCTTTTTGGCCCCCAACAAGATGAAAGTCAATCCATAAGGAAATATGATTTTTTTTTATTGGTTATACATATTTTGACTTTCATCTTTACAAGATTGGTTATTGGTTCAATATGGAAATATAAGCAATCAATAAGGTATTGAACAAGCCAAACTTGGGATGTATTGGCATTACATGATATTACCGCGTGTCTGAACATGGAATTTAAACATCCAAACATAGAAAATTCAATGGGCATCTTCTCTTTTTGAGAATAGAAAATGACACATACCCTCAAGTAATCAAACGTGGCTTGCCTTTAGCAACCGAGCGAAGTGTACCACTGTCAGTAGCCAGTTCGGCGATGAAGTCGACCCTGCTGATTCTGTTATGGGGGGGTTCGGCCATCAAAAAGTTGGAAAATTCGGATTTCACAGACCGAAAATTTAGACAATTGAGACTTGAGCTATGAAAAATACAACTGTCTGGGTACTCACCAGTATGGAATTTCACCATCGTTCGGGGGTTTTACCGGGTACCCGTTACTACTTGGTTTTTTTGTTGGGTGTATTATCATCCTCATGAGAATCCCTATTGACCAACCAGTAATCAGTAGAATAGAATGGGATAAGGTATTTTCCGTGGCTCACTTGAGACTCTGACACAGAAAAATCATCAAATTGTCACTGGCAGATCTGAATACAACCATAGATTGATATAAATGATTGTATTTGATTGGTTTCAAACACCATCCGGAAAAAAAAACCTTGGCCATGGGAAATCCCCATTTCTGATTGGAGGTTTACAGCTGGGAAAATCATCAATAAGTCTCCAGATGTTCTAATGTAAACCCAACTAAGTAGTTCGACAACAGTTATATTTGGTTGTAAACTAACTTAGCCAAGCATGAATTGTGTTCTTGGTCCAATCCACATGATCCATCAATTCTTAATAATTGTTCCAGATGGCTCATTGAAATTCTTCCCAATGGCATCATTTGTCCATTTTCTTTCCTGGTGGAATCGCCATGGCCATGGTCAGTGTCGGCCGTCGGCCAAGGCACAGGAAGACATTGGGCTTCCAGCAGCTCCACCACTTCCTGAATAGGCTGAATTAACTCTGGTTTATGGTAGATATAACTATAGTTTTCATGGGGATTATACTGGTTTATAAAATCTATATCTGATTGGTGGTTGAGCCACCCCTCTGAAACATATGAAAGTCAATGGGAAGGATGACATCCCATATATGAAATGGAAAATAATCCAAATGTTCCAAACCACCAACCAGAATTGGTATACCATTGACAACAGTTTGTAACAGTAATTGGTATACACTTAAATTGCTAAGTTTCTTATTTAACACAGACCGCTGGTAGACACAGTTTCCCACTCTTTATTTGGAGACCATAAAAATGCTACCGGGTATCAAGGGTAATTCGGAGCCACATGGGTTGATAGACCCTTCTGCGAACTTCGTATGGTCATGGAAAATGCTTGGCGACAAGAACGCCATTTCAACACTTCAGTTCGGGTTGACCAATATTTGGACCTGTGGCTTTCACTTTCTGCACATAGTTTCAAGTGCAAACCGGACACAACGCAACCATTTCTGGCTGGTTTTTGGCTGTGGCACCAGTGAATCCCCAATGTTGAAGTTTAAATGGTCATATTTTTAGATGCCTTAAGAATCACCACATTTGGGGGTATTGGATCCGAACATTTGTGGGCTTTGTGAGCTATCGTAGCTATCAACTCCCATACTTGGGCTATTTGTACCAAATCATTGGTGTCCCATGCCAAAACATGCCAAAATTTAAGGATGACTTGAGGGGTAGCCCCAAATTCCAGTCGCCTCCCACGCAATTTGCCTTAATTTTGTTGGTCATATCGCCAGTTCTGATGGTATGTTTCTGTTGGGCTTACCCTCTGATTATTGGTCATATAGCCATGGGTTACATGGTTCGTTTATAGATGATTTACATTGATTTACTGCATTAAAAATGGCGATTTTCCATCGTTATGTTACTGGTTGGTGGTTGAGCCACCCCTCTGAAAAATATGAGTTCGTCAGTTGGGATGATGAAATTCCCAATATATGGAAAAATAATTCAAATGTTCCAAATCACCAACCAGGTTAGTTTACCAAAGGGTATTCAATCCAACATACCATCCATCGAAGTAGATGAAACCTCTGAGCTCGCTCCACCAAGATTCAGCAAAGCGAAGGCCCTTGAAACGCTGGGCCTGGAGCGATGGCAGTTGGTTGCAACAGCAGAGAAAAACATGCATAGGACATATGTACCTATATATATATATCTTAAATGTATATGTATATGTATATGTATATTAATATGTATACCTGTACAATCATGTTATATTATGTTAATGATCGTTAATGTATATGTATAAGGAATATGGGATGGAATATGGAATATAGAATATATGTGTATAATCAACCTATATATGTTATTGTATATGTATGTTATTTATTTGTACCTTTAGGGTTGGCCTCTCGCTACTATTTTCCGTGCTTGGTGCGCACTTTCCAGAGTTTCGACCGTCCCTCGTCTGTTATCTATATGTATATATGTAATATGCAGTGCATAGTCATGTATACGCACATGTAAACATACATATACAAATGAAGAAATCTAACATCATATAGCAGCCCCGAAAAGATCGAATATGACATTTACCACTATTTTATACTATTTTAATAGGAATTTACTCTTGTTTTCCGGGTTGCTAGTCAGTTTGCACATGCTTATTTCCATTCAAACACCGTGGGTTACTGATCAAAGGATTGCTCATGAAAGCTGTTTCTGCATATCTGGAACATATCTAAAATACCTGAACATACCAGTTCCTGCTGGAACATGCAGTTTCATACAAAATCATGCTGCTTTATTTCTACCAAGTTGTACTTGAATCGCGGAAGTGGTAATTGATCTACATCTTCAAGCACCTTGCAGCTTCAAAGTTATAAACTTTACAGTCGGACAGGCAAGGGCGCCCTTGGCTTATTGGGATTAAATCCCATCATAACAAATTAACTCCCCAAAAAATGCTGCACAATCCTTAAACAAGTATTAGCTTGAATCTTTCCTATCGACTGGCTGGTTTACGGGTCAACAAGCGGTTATAGTAGTCTCCAATAAAGTAGGTAGTACGAGCCCAAGCATAGTCTACAATGTGAGGCCCCCCAGATATAAGCTGGCTTTTAAAAAACATTGACTATAGTTACTATAGTTATACCACCTTAATCAACCCAACAGTTAACAGACTTATGTGCGTCAGCTTGGCTATTTAGGGGGCACCGAAAACGCAATCGGTACCACTTGGGCACTTCTCAGGTGTCTTGAACAGATCATTAGGAAGTGATACACATCGTATCCTTCTATCTACCTCAGTGCAGGGTCTCTGCTTCAACTAAGACATGGCCAACCTTTGATGCTAAGCGCACACCACATAAATAATTCTTAGCTGGCTATGTAAATATTCCATTTACCTAAATAGAACACATTTTCACCTACTCCTACTCAACCAGCCGGTTTTAAAATCATCTGACTGGTTATCTGGTTATCTCACCACCGTGAATCCGGTGAATCCAAATAAAACATCCTAAGAATTCCTAAGACTCATTGCCAATCAGCCAGATACCCTGCAAAAAATGACAAATTCTTTGCTGGTGAACGTAGATATTCCCATTAGTACCAAAAGACTAAAGGATTAGTTTGTATCCATGTAAGATTGACCTAAGACTTATCATGTTTTCCCTCCAACTCCAGCGGTTTTTGATGGTTTTTGGCCATCGCGCAATCGCGCAGCCCCGCCTGACGATCTACTGTTCCACCGCTAACTTTGGCCTCTGCCTGCGTCAAATCTGATTTGGGGAACCCAAACTACCCTCTGGTTATGTCAAAATAGCTATTGAAAATGGACCATTTATAGTGGATTTTCCCATTAAACATGGTGATTTTCCCATCAGTTATGTTATCGTTTACCAGAGGGTACCGTAAAATTCTGATGTCTTTTGCTGGAAAAAAAAGAGCCGTCGACTGTTGGGCGCCGAAGGCAACACTGTGGGCTTTGTGATGGCTTCCCAGACGTGGATTTTCCTCCACATACCAACATGTAAACTAACAGTTTGCTGTTGAACATGGCCATAGAAATCGTTGATTTACCCAATAAAAATGGTGATTTTCCATAGTTATGTTAGTTTACCGGCCATAGAAATCGTTGATTTACCCATTAAAAATGGTGATTCTCCCATCAGTTATGTAAACGTTTACCAGAGGTAAATGGACAGTGTTCAAAATCCATACTGCTTTTTCATAGGAACTCCAGGATTCCCATCGTTCAGTTCATAATCCCCGAAGCAGGTGATGACAGCATGAGTCCCTGACAAATTTGTACCCATGAGCCATCGACAACCCAAAAAATTGTCCGCAATATCCAAATATCTTGTTGTTAAAAAAACAATTTGATGCTTGATTTCGAGTATTTCCAAGCCAATTACAGTACACTTCGAAAATGTCCACTAAAAATCATCAATCATCAACCAGGGTTTCTCGCCGGAAAAAAAAACTCATGGTTTTCCACTGAAATGAGCCATCTCTAGAATTTTCATGGCAAAAAAAACATCAATCAACCATCATATATCAGTCTGGTTGGTGGTTGAGTCACCCCTCTGAAAAATATTAGTCAGTTGGGATGACGATTCCCAATATATGGAAAAATAATTCAAATGTTCCAAACCACCAACCAGTATCAGTTGTATTTACTACCATCTGGTTATTTAAGATAGCCATGGAAAATCACCATTTTCAATAGGTAAGCCATCTATTTCTATGGGCCATCTATACCATGGCTATGTTAAATAACCAGAGGGTAATATCTCCATATTTTCATATAGTTAAAATCCCATTTAAATTACTATAATCATCAACCCACCAGGGGTAGATCGCAGCCACTGCTCACCCCATCCAGATCCACATGAAAAACCATGAAATCCATACTGAATCACCATTAAATCACCATTAACCCCTATGAAATCCGGTAGATCCCATTAAATCATCTTTACCCTCTGGTAAACTAAATAACTTTGGGAAATCAGCAATTTTTAAACGGTAAATCAACCATTTCTATGGCAGTTTTCTATAACAGACTGTTGTTGTTTACCAGGGGGTAGGTCACCATAAACTGACCAATGTGGGTGAAACAATGCCATAAACCACCCATTTGGGAATGGTTGATACCACCTATTTCTGGTGATTTGGGGGATGGTTTATGGCATTGTTTTAATCCCATTCCCATTCAATCACCATTCAATCACCATGAAAAATCCTCACCACGCTCTGGTAAATCACCATTCAATCCCTGGTTTTTCTACCATGAAAAACACCATGAAGTCATCCATCCAATGCCATCCTTCCATTAAATCCCAGTAAATCCCATTAAATCCTCCATTGAATGTCTGGTAAATCACCATCAAATCCCTGGTAAATCACCACTTCATGGCAAAAAACACCCATGGTTTTGAAGGCACCCTTTGCGCCTGTAAGATCACGCGCAAGGGCGTCATGCCCATCAAATCCCGGCGCCTGGGATTGGCCTTTCAAGCTAGGTGTGGGATGCAAAAATCAGTGAGGATTAAATCATTATATATCATTATATATCATTATAATATGTATGTATATATCTATCATATATCTTCATATATCTTCATACATCATCATATATCATCATATATCATCATATATCATCATATACCATCATATATCATCATATATCATCATATATCATCATATATCATCATATATCATCATATATCATCATATATCATACATCTACATCTACATCATCATCATCATCATAATTATCATCATCATCGTCGTCGTCATCGTCGTCATCGTAATCGTATATATATATGATCATATTATACAAATATATTATATGATTTAAGGTAATATAAACAATATAATATTATATATAACATAATATAACATTTGTCAATAAGTACGAATATGTATTACATGGATATGCAGAACATTATTACATTATTACATAATATTCCATGGAATCCGTCAGAATTGTCCATTTTGATCCATGGAGCCCATTTTAAAACAAACAACAGTTGTGAATCGAGATGCCATCGCCACATATGGGTGGACTTTCATGATCGCCACCCACTCACCCGATGTGTTGCTTGCCTCCTTCTGTAGAAGGTATTTCACAAGCTCAGGATGGCCCCAGGTGGCAGCCACATAAAGTGGGGTGATTCCCTTCTCATCTTCAAATTCCTCAGCGAGGTTTGGCTTCAGGCAGTTGGAAAAACTTCCGGAGACCCGGTGATGGAAGCCCGACACAGGTGAAACTGAAAATCATCCAGTGATGGTGATGGTCAAAGAATCCAATAGGCTTGGAGGGCCAACGGACGAATTTTGAGCCTGATACTTAGGTCATGTCATGCACCCTTCAAGACTGACATAGAACCCACAAATCATGGCAATTTCAAATCGGAGACTGATCTTTGGACCTTGTAACTATTAAATTGGTTCCACCCGCAATTTGCGAAGTCATAGCTGATTCAAGGGTCTCCTATGGCAACAGTTTCAGACATGGCTACTCTGACGTCCAAGTCCCTTTGCCGTTGATGCAATATAATCAATGGCATGGCCCTGTCAAACAGATCCATCCTCGCCGCAAGCGCTTGGTTTGACCAAACCTCAGATGGAATAGGTTTGACTTCACGGTTTCCATGTACTTGTACACGTTCCCACCAAGTTTTGTTCAAATGTGTTCGACGTGGGATTTCCTTGAGCTGAAACGAGTCGGGAACAGATGAAAGTGCCTGAAAGTGCCCTTGGAGGAGAGCTCGCCTCCCTGAACGAAGACAGGGCTCTAATCGACCCTGAAGCACCAATGATCTCCGTTGCGTACGACAGAACACGGCCCAAGGTGATCATATCGCTGGATTTTTTCAAATGCAACCAGGAAGGAGATGGTTTCCGAAATAGGATCAGGGCGCAAGCGCCGGTCTCAAGTTCCTTTGCGACTCGTTCCATCGCTTGTTCTCGTCATGCTGAGTTGCTGAAATCCCCTTGAGGTGCCCAGTTCCTATCCCTTCGGTCATGGCCCTCGCCTGGAAGGCATGGGAAAATGATCTCCGTCGATGGTGGATTTTCTGAAAATCGCCACCTTTGATTGGATGGTAAGTGATTAATACATCGATATTTAGGACTAAACTTCGTCATACATGGGCCACACATAAAAAAAGTGGAGCACTTGGCTTTGTCAGAAAAAGTACACGCCTAAAGTTAACTGGTTAATCCCATTTCCATGAAATGAACCTTCTATAATATAAAGCAGTGCAATCTCACCATTCGCCAACCACGCACATACATGATGAACCATGAAAAACGCCCGATCCCGTCCCCTGATATTGGTTGGTTGCTTGGCATCTGATGAAATGGGTCATGCCACCATGCCCGTTGAAGCCTACATGGCCAATCTTGGATACCCTGCAAAAATATGCGTTTTTCTTTTTATCCCGACTAACAGTACACGATTAAGTTGGTCTTTTGGTTCATCCCCCATTCTTGTAGCTTAAAATCGTTGAAGTCTTTGATTTTTTGTTGGTGAACAATCAACCTATCCATGATTTAAGTCTTTATATCCCCATGATATCCTCTTTATATCCCATAAAATCAGCATTCGGAGTTTTCCATGAATGGTGGATCCCCAAAACCATGGCTTTCAATATCTTTCAATACTAAACTAGTCTAATTCTAGATGATTTGAGGGTATACACCGCATTTTAGGAAACCTACATTTTTCTTCATTCACATTGCTGTTTCTCACCCCGGGCCTTCAAAAAAAAACGGGCCCAACGGCCGCCATCCATCGCCATCCATCGCCAGGCGGCGAAATCCACGCAGGGATCCGGGATTGAAGACATGATCCTCAGCCAAAATGATGGGGATTTCATCATAGCACAAAAATTTTATACCCTCTGGCTATTTAACATAGCCATGGAAAGATCCACCCATTTTTAATAGGTAAACCCAGGTAAAACCATCTATTTCTATGGGCCATTTTCCATGGCTATGTTAAATGACCAGAGGGTAGATTATTAGATCCCATAATTAGATTTCTATTATGGGGATATCATATATCTAATAACATATGTGATATATTCATCTATTAGATATATGGATATTAGATATATGGATATCTATGTGTCTAATAATAGCACAATGATATAACAATGGATAGGCTATTAGAAATGGGGTTATCATAGAATTGGATTTAATATAACAATGGGTTTATCAGACAACAATTTTATAATTATGGGGATTATATCCTAATATATTATCTAATAGCAATGGATATTAGATATAACAATGGGAACACAGTGATAACCCCATTCTATGGATAGGCATTTTTTTAATGTAGGATAATTGGAAAATGTACAGGATGGGGAAACATAGATTAAGATGGATTCAATGGGGATATGATAAACATGTATATTAATGATATTAATGATAGATTAAGACAAAGGGAAATGCATATTGATGATATATAGACGATATATCAATGATTAATGATATATTAATGATATAATAAGGAGATAAATAGAATATTAAACCATATTACTAGTAGGATCTTATTGTATAACCGGATATTCATGATAGTCATGTTGAATGTGGGGGGCATAACTCATGTAGGATAGGAATTTAAAATGTATATCAATGATATAAGACAAGAGGGATATAGCATACAGTCAACCAACAGAATGTAGGATATAATATGGACGGCCAAACAACGTCTAATCACAGGGGATAAACCAAACTATAAGAATTAAATATGATTAAATCATCTAGGGCCAGGGATATTTTTATTTTTATTCATAATATGGATAGCAAAAATAGAAAACACATTCCACCACATTCAATGGATTCATTGGCAACATCTCCAGAAAACCGGTAGTTTCTATGATGAAAGAGTTTCTGGTTTTGACTATCTCATCATCCACGTCAAGCACAAATGAGTGGTTTAACCAATAATTCTATGGGGATATTGGTGTATAAGTTATAGGATGTTATAGGATATCATATCGCATATGAGTTGTCTAAAAAATACGACTACCCAAAATGGCTGTTTTACAGGCGCAAATGGTGAGAAAACATGGGAGTTGGTTTTTCACAAACAAACCCATTCTGAGGCATGAATCGACACATATCTCCGTGTAAATTGCACATCTCGTGAAACAACGAGGTGCATTTGATAGGTGTTTAAACGTGGCCAATGTTAGATATGTACTTTTCATTTTGAATATGTTTAAAATATGGCACATGGTATAATGTTTATTTATAATAGCACAAACAAAGTAATAAAATCGCACCCATCCCAGGCTTCCCAAGTTGATAGGTGTTTCAAATGCTTTGGTTCGTCAAACTGAACTGAACGGAAACAAACACATGGCCCCCATGGCATTCTCTCTCTTTGACCAATCCAATGGCTCGTGAAGCTCCAACATGGTGGTTGCCGGATGTGGTTTTCCCCACAAAAAATAATGTATCCATGCGTATCCCATTCCGACCCATGGTTTAAAACATCATCCGATGAAGATTTGCCCAAGATCGAGCTAAATCCCGTCGAAACAAACAGCGACGTGTTTGATCCCAGTGTCTTTGTGACAATCTCAACGGAACCCGACCTGTCGCAGGTCATGTGTCGCAGGTCCCATGCCACCATATCAAACACCCCGGGAAACCACGGTGGATTTGGGACCATACAATGGAGCCCCACAAAGGCTGAACGAGTTGAGGGAAACCGACCTGGGGGGTAACCGGGGGAGAGTCCGTTTCGTTCTCAGCTGGAGGGTTTCAAGTTTCATGTGGATTTTGTCTGGAAACGGCATTTTACGGATTTTTTGAATGGTTATTAAGCAATGGACTTAGGGGTATATACCCTATAGGCAGACCCAAAATGGGAGATCCGGAATATCACGGAGTATGTCTGCACTTGTTCAATCCATTTGGGGCCCATCCACTGCAAGGGATCATGGGCATACTGCAGCCAACTTCAGCCTCCATTCCAAAACATTTGGATATCTGCGCATGGGATATACCTTCAGTGTACGGCAATTTGAATAGGACACATTCTGATCAGCCATCAGCTTGAGGGATGCCACTTGTCAGCAAATCCATTTCGGAGTCTGCTCACCCGCAGCCTTGCCTACATCCTTCCAGTAGCAAGTGTTGGTACATGGAACGATTGTCCTGCGAGGCATATTGAGGCGTACCCTATTTCCGACCGCTTCCAGAAGCCAATTCTGGGGGCTATTCCCTGGACATCCTTGGACCTTGCAACAGCTTGTTTCTGAGAAGAATTTTCATGGCCAATCTTAGAGACCCGGCCAAAAAAAAGGGTTAGTACAGATATCCCCGGTTGCAGCAAAAGATTAAAGACATTAATGTGGGTAAAACAATAATAAACTATCCCCCAGTCATCATCATTTTTATAGGTGGTATGGTTACCATCCCCAAATGGAGGTTTATTATTGTTTTACCCACATTAAAGACTAAACTATCCAAAGTCAACCCAGTTTTAAAGAAAACTTCTCCATCCATATCCATGCCCATGAAGCCTGGCAAAGTCTGACTTTGCCGCTCCAAAGCTCAAGGAGATTTTGCAGGCAGTTCAACGTAGTTTTTAGCGGATGCTAAGCGCCTGTAAGGTGGAAACAAACTTGAGCATCCTTGGAATAAACATGGTCCAATTGCAACAAGGCAATTCTAGGAGCGATGGATTGCTTGCGAGTCAAGCCACATAATATGAAACCAACACGTTTTAGAGAAAGTTTAAAAAATTAGCTATCGGAAGACCACTCGGCCAAGTGCTTTGCGGACTAGGCCAAATTCCATCCACCTCTTCCTGAGAGCACTGGAGGAACATGTTGTTAGTAATCAGTTGCCATTTTGGGGTTAAGATCATAGTCATGAACCACCAGAGCAAAAATGTGGGCATTTGGTAGGCCGGCTACGATATTTCGAAAAGCAGAAACAAGAGCATGGAAAATAGATCAATTTCGTCAATTCTCCTCTTAAAACATAACTTTTATTTTTTGAATAGCCCTCTTAAACATAACCTGGTTGGTGGTTTCAACCCCTCTGAAAAAACATTAGTCAGTTGATGTCAGTTGGGATTATTCTTCCCAATATATGGAAAAATAATCCATTCATGTTCCAAACCACCAAGCAGATAACTTTGATTTTTTGAATATCCCTCTTAAACATAACTGTTATAACCTCCCCAAATATCACCAACCATACACAAAATCATCATTTATCAGGTATATTCTCATTTTTTAATTGTTAAAACCATAGTTCATTACGAAAAAAAACAGCTCCCGTCCCGGGGTTCCGAAAGTGCTCAGCAGTTAACCCTGGGTCTCCTTTAGAGATGCACAACTGCTCTTCCACAAGAGCTCAAAGAGCTCCAAATGACCTGCGGAAACCCTTTGAGAACGGGCAAAAATATAGGATTTAGATAAATTTAATGTAGGATAGTTGGGGAACCATATATTGAGACATGGGGAAATGTATATTGATGATATATTGACGATATATCAATGATTAATGGTATATTAATGATGGTGCCCCCTCAGTTATAAGTTGATTTGCAATAACCTTTAGCTATAGTTATATTGGCCCATCAACCCTAGTTATTGGACTTATAAATGAACTTAGCCAACTGTGGGGCCCTATCCTGTAGGATTTAGATGGATTTAGTCCCAAGAATGGTGCATGACATCAATCATTTATGGGAAACTGATAGACATATACACGGATACAATGTGATATTTGGGTCTATCTGAAAATGCCCATTCTAAGATACGGAACATGCTGATGAATCATGGGATACTAGCTTACTTTTTAAACATGTCGCAGGGCAATCATAACTAACAATCCTCCAAACTTGGCGAATATATCATTTGTAGATTAGCCACGGGTATCTAAGGTTGGTTTCTGCCTACCAAAGCAAGGTTCATTTAGAATATATATATATAGATATATAGATATATAGATATATATATATAATATGGCTGTTTCATGAAGCAACACTGGTGCTGTATTGGATGTATCCAGATTTAATTATCTCTGGCTATTGTGGGATCTATACAGACTTCTTGTCCACTTAAATATCACTTCTGTTGGCTGAATTTGGAAATTTCCTCTAGAATTACGGTTGCTAAATAGGGATTCCCACTTTTTGGATTCCGATAATTTCTGATATATGAAACTGAAGCGATCATCGACCAACTTGGGTCTTGGAGACTGTGCAAATCGGCTGAAACGTTGGAGACCTGGAAATATGTTTCTATCCGAATTGGGGGTTACAAAAAAGTGTATTTGCTTACAGTTCTTTTGTGCAACCCATAACAACCAACAAATCATACCCCAGCCTGTGCCAGCTGCCAACGACAGGCTCTGAGCTGACACCTGGCGACTGCATCAATCATCTACCCTCCAGCTGGCTGGGAAATCCTATAAATAGAGGCTTATTGTTGCTGGTTGGTGGTTTTAACCATCTTGAAAAATATGAAAGTCAATGGGAAGGACTATCCCATATATTATGGAAAATAAAACATGTTTGAAACCACCAACCAGGTTGGGAAGACCATCTCTACCATGGTGGATTTTCCATTGCGATGGATTGCCGGAGGGTTTTGTATCGTGTTTTCAAACATCTATTGTGATCTCTTTCAGAAACATCTGGAGTTGCAAATCAACTCACATTGTCATGAACCTTGAAAAAACAGCAACACCCATATATACTGGTTGGTGGTGGTTGAGCCACCCCTCTGAAAAATATGAAAGTCAGTTGGGATTATTCTTCCCAATCTATGGAAAAATACAAAATGTTCCAACCACCGACCAGTATACATATTGATAGTTGTAGCCTTAATTTTTGGTTAAAACGCTAGTTTGGTTAACATCTGTCAAATCACGAGTGTATCCATGAGTGTCAACAACAATCCCATGATATTCACAAGATATTCCCATGGAAAACCCCGTGCTTCATCACATTTTTTGCTTGGTGAAAAACCCTCCGTAGATGATGTTCCCATTTAAGAACAACACATTTCTGGTGGATTTTCTTAATTGCCATGTTTGACTACGGAAGAGTTTTTTTCTGTTATTTCAATGTTCCCCAACCTTAAAATCGCCATCTGCAGCCAATGTTGTTGGTTATATCGAAAATATTCGCACTATATCTGGTTGGTGGTTTCAACCCCTCTGAAAAATATTAATCAGTTGGGATGATTATTCCCAATATATGGAAAAATGTTCCAAACCACCAACCAGAACCACATGTGATTCTTGAATATACCTCCAATTGTTATGTTTAATCCCATGGTATTCACAATATATCTCCAATTCACCAACCATATCTCCAATTAAAGATATATCTAAAATAGTACACTATTGTTAGTTATATCCCAGTATATCTATATATATATATATATAGATTATGTTCACTAAATCCCATGAAAACACAATTGCGTTAATTAGATCTCCTTTAATATTTCATCAACCAATGTTATACATCTGGGTAAATTATAATATTTCACCGACCTGAATAGTTCCGCCATAAAAGGGGATGATTCCCCTATAAAAACCATGATTCCAGTGAGGGAGAATAGTGAGATCGTGATGAAATTTACCCAGATACATGATATCTTCATTAATTCACCAACCAAACTTCAAGGGTTTTCACCGCATGTGACCGCGCACCTCAGCCCCCAGGCGCAACGCGAAGCGCGCCAGGCTCAAACGTCGCTGCTGCGCGGCACAGTGCAGGAGGTGTTCTAAGCCACTGGAGACGTCCTGCAGGGACGTTTGAAGCAACAAGCATACATAACCATAGGGATTGATCATGGGATAATATGGCATATACATATATAATATAACATAATATAACATAATATAATATAATATAATAGAATAGAATATAATATATTATAATATAATATTATATATATATAATGGGATATAAGATGATATAACTAATGGATATAATTGTGTACTTGGAGGATCATCCCACGGATCGCAAGTGGTTAGTAGCTGGGCTTAGTGGAGATTAATAAATGGGGTAATCCACGAAGCGGGAACTTACTAACTAGGCTTCTTAACCACTAAGTGGGACAATCCTCCAAGAAAAAGCAGCATTTACCCCATAAAAATGGCTGTTTTAAGCAGGAAAATTGGGATTTAGCATGTTTTAAGATAGGAAGTTCATCAACAAAAACTACTGGATTTATAATGGATTCCGCATTGCCATGTGTTCAATTACTGGATGGTAACGGGGATTTACAGTTGATATAGCTGATTTGCAAAACCAGGGATAATCAAGGGATTGTCAGTCAGCAGCAAAATTAGGACATTATAGATTCACCGACAAAACCGGTGGTTTTTCATGGGATATAACGATTTTCCATAACAGCAAAATTTGATTTATGTGGCAAAACAAGCAGCAACATGAGGACTGTAAGATTTATTTAATCATGCTGCTCAATCATGTGAATCATGTTCTGATGCTTACCATAACACCAGCACTTTGATTTATAACATGAGGACTGTAATGATCATTTAAAAGATTTGAACGGATAGCATCGTGAAGCGTTTGATGGGATGCAACCAACAATTGGGAAATTTTACAAACACAAATGGTGCATCCAATGGGATATAATGGGATATCAATTTTACCAATCATTTTCAGGAGTTTAGCATCCAAAATAACCACTTAAAACTTGGAACATATGGCGGGGTGAAGGAAAAAACTTCGGAATTGTGCATGATTCTTCTGGGGATTTCATACCCCATAAAATCCACCAATCCAGATCTAGATTTAACCAGTAACAACAACGATGTCATTGCCTACACGGTGGTTTTATACCAACAAAAATGAGGAGATAACCATAATTAACGGGTCAAAAAACCAAAGCTGCAAACTTTGATGCTGGACTAACCTGCAAAATTAACTGTTATAACTGGGGTGATTGCCAACTTGTTAGCTATATATTCCAACTTCAGGATGACTCAACCATATCAAACCTGATTTTTTGATGGTTAACCTCCTGTAAACATGATAAATGTTTAGAAAGCAAATCATTTGTAGATTCGAATTTCCTACAAAAACCGTGGGTTTTCCACATCTACCACATCTATGTGCGACTTTAGCCTGGTACTCACCATAGAGGGATGGGATTCCTCTCCCGGGGATGATCCTCCAAGAACCCCACCGGAAGCCCCCAGCTGGGCGGCCCGTCCAGCTGGCGATGCACGGCATTCAGAAACAGCGAAGGCCCTTCTTCGTATCCGAGATTGGTCCTCAGTGGATACCCTGGGAATCTCATGGGATTTTTTTGATCCGATCTTAGGTGACAAAGCCCTATTTTTAATGGGCTGTCAAAAGATAAAAGCGGATTAATAGTCATCGAATGATCCACCATAATCGGGAGGGATTTTTCCATCTGGGGATAGAAATATCATCGAATGGGAATATAAGTTGAATACAATCGACAATATTGGGATGTTTCTTGGTTTACCAAAAAAATCATCCCTTAGAGCGAGATTGCCAGTGTGGTTGAGAATCGCCCCGTATACAATTAACCACTGGTAAATAACCAAACCAGGGTTTTGGTCCTCAGCACGGGGGAAACATCCAAATTGGGGAGTTACCCCAAATTATGGAACTAATAGGGAAGATGATGATCAATCATAGAATTGTGTACCGTTTTCCAGAGAAACACATGGTAAATGTCCCAACATGCTGATTCTTGAAAGGTATCGGCAAAATTGGTGTGTTTGGAATCTGCAACCATCCAATGTTGGAGAGGGCATGCAATTTCCTGAATCCAATTCCCCAGAATGATACACTGCTAAGCAAGAGTCTTTGTTATTCAGGTTGTATATAGTCAAATCGATGAACATATACAAGTACAAATATATAGAGATTTATCTGTATATATATATATATGTATATATTTTCTACATGCATGTGTAAATCATGTGTATGTGAATCTGTACACGTATATGTGTGCGTAAACCTAAACATATTATAGGATAAATGTTTGTAGATATGAACGTGTATGTAACGTGTAATAGTTGTACACACACGCAAATATTCGCCCAGGGGATACAATACGCAGTGTTTCTATGGGATCAGATCCTCCAGTCCGGACAGCCGGTTACCGCGGCAATCCCGATTCTGGCCACAGCGCCTTGACAACCTCCCCATATGTCCCTGGAATCCCTGGAAGCCAGATATTTTTCATATTTTTCTTTGTTTTCTTTGTCTCGCTGGCATTCGCTGGCATCCACGATATCTTTAAATTGTGTTAGCTTAATGTTTTTTAATTACTTTTCCAAGCCACGAGGGCCTTGAACCTTGATCAAAACTCCATTCGCCTCTATCCACATTTCTAACAAAGCATCTTGATGGAGTGAAGCCAAGAACTTTGATGCGATTCACTGCTTGGTCTACGCTGCCGACTGGGGTTAGTCAACAAGTGCTCATGACGGATTCGATCGAGTTGTTTCACCATCAACTGATTGACTTTACCAGGCAAGAAACCCAACTTTTGATTGCTTCACACACACAAAATGTGGCTAATGTACCTGCATCTTGTAGGTAAGACTCCCTCAATTTTGATGCTAATCCATTGGTCCATCCTATGTGAAATCTTCAAACAACCAACCCAATGGAGGTTTTCAATCCCCTGACTTTGAACATTGACATTGACTAGTATCATCCCTGATATGACCGAAGAAAAATCAAACAAGCAACCAGCACTGTTGTCCCAGTTGTCCCAGTAAATCCCACAACAACTCCTTCCAAATAAAAATTACATCCCTTGAGCCAGCTTTTTTCATCTGATTAAATCACCACTTTTGATTTTATTAGATGGTGATTATTATTTGGATTATTAAATCTTACGAAATCACCAGAATTGGTTGCAGTAAATCCCATCATTTTTTTGGGTCCCAACACATGGGTCCCTGGTCAAGTGATCCAAGTGGCAAATCCACGAGGACTTTCAGGGTATTTTCTGTGGCCTGAAACCTGAGCGATTTTCGGATCCCTCGGATCGTGGTGTGGTTTATTTTGCCCGCCTACGTATAGTCTTACTGGTGCTTAGCCATACTTAACCATAGGGATTGATCATGGGATAATATGGCATATAGGGATACAAGATGATCTGGTTGCTGGTTTTTCGCCTACACCTCTGAAAAATGATGGAGTGAAAGTCAGTTGGGATGATGACATTCCCAATATGACGGGAAAAATAATCAAAATGTTCCAAACCACCAACCAGCTGTAGTTAGTAAGCTCTCATTCAGTGGTTTATCCCGTTTATCTCATTTATAACTCAGTGAACCAACCATGATTACTAACCAGCTAGCATCAGTGGGAATGATCTCTCAAGCGGGATCCACAAGGCTGAAACGATATCCAATTATCAACCGGGGGATGTGATTTTTATCATGCCCAGTAGGGGTATAACTATACCCCCACAAAGTGGGGATGGTTATTTTTGGGTATAGTTATACCCCTACTTTGTGGTTGTATCCCGGATCATTGATAACTATATAGTGGTTTCATTATAAAATAAACTTTGTGGTTGTATAACTATACCACAAATCATACTATTCTTCCGGAGTGATTGTATCATGGGAAAATCCCATTGGCGGTTGAGCCATTCATTGATTAATCCAGGTGATTGTTAGGGCCTAGGGTCTCCTGGGAATGGTTGATCAAAATGATTCACCAACCTGACATAAAAATGCGACGGTAAAAAAAAGGTGACGTTGTTATCATTCACCCGTATGTGTTGGTTTCATCCATTTTGAGGTGTTTCAGACTGGCCAACACAAACGGATGATTCGACACTCCCAAGTTTTTCTTCACCAGCAGCCAATCATTGGCTGGTTGGTAGCTTAAAATAGCTTACCCTCTGGTAAATTAACATAGACCCTAAAAATAACCAATGTTTAGTGGAAACTAATCTTCCAACCCCGATCTACCAGGGTCTATGTTAATTTACTGGAGGGTAAATTTCATTTCTCCTGGTATAGCCGGTATAGCTTGCAGGGCCGCAGACTCCACATATGGGCCGCAGATTTGGCAAGCCGCGGAAAAACATTTGGGGCACCCAATTTTGGGCCATGGGGCCATGGGGCCATCAAATCTCGCTGGCGAATAGCGAGCCACTACAGGATGGGGCCCCCAGTCGAGCGAGCTCGCGTGAACCGTTGCCGAACAGAAAAGTGGCTGAATGATTTCTCTGGTTTATGGTAGATATAACGAACTAGTTTTCATGGGATTTTTTTGGTGGTTTATAAACCAACGTTCACATCACTGGTTTTCCCCATCCTTTTTTGTGCTCCCCATTGAATCTCAATGTATCAAAGCATCGCAAAAAACGATCCCATGAAATCGTCCCTTAAATGTGTAGGTTTCGTACCTTACCATACGGGGGATGTTCAATATTCTAGGGAGGGGACTAAGCCATGCAACCCATGTGAGCCATTAACAATACCATTGTTGATTGCTTATTAAAGGGGATTGTACTACCTGGTTTCATGGGGGTTATTACTACCCATAACGGGAATTCGGAATACGCACTAGCCAACCCGTATAATGGGATGGGAAAAAGGTATTTTTACAAAAGCATGAACAATTACAAACTATCAAGAACATTCTAAAACACCTAACTTATGTGTTTCACACTGTGGCCAGTAGTGCGTTACACTCTCTATTTTTAATGGTTCATCGTAATTTTTATACTTCTGGCCACGGCAGCTATGGGAGACCCTAGACCTGGGACACCTGCAGACCTGGTGGGGACTCGAAGCCTTCCAGCCGACGAATGGGGGATTTAAATAGCATGAGCTGGGGAAATAATGGGGATATCATGGGGATATCAGCATATGTGGATTTGACTAACGACGATGGGAATATCTTCGGAATAAACAACAAATTATTTTGGGGTTGGTTGTCTCAAAATAGGAAATACAGCTGTATACAGTACATCCCTAACTATACACTCCAGTAAATTAACATAGACCCTGAAAATCACCAATTTTTAATGGAAACTAGTCTTCCAACCCCTATCTGCCCGGGTCTGTGTTAATTTACCAGAGGGTAAAAATCATTCTCCCAAATTCTTTGTTGCAGCCATGGATCATGGGATATCCTGAATCCGCAAGCTTGGGCAATCTTCTTGGTTTGAAGCAACCCATGTTGATAGCAAAAAACAACCATGTTCACCCAACAATTTTTGTTTCCCTTAAATGGGATTGCCTTATCTTTTTGGGAACACCCCAAAATCAAGCCAGGTTTATTATCATGTTTGCCCAATTTATGGCAGCTGTACAGGGCAAATCCAATATTTTCAGACATGACACAGCCATATAAACATATTCTTGGCGCCTTTCTCCGCATTGCAACTGGGCCCAGCAACTAAAATCTAGGTCAATTTCCTAATGTCTGATGCCCAAAAATCCAATATCAAGTTGCCTACACTAGTAAAAAAATGTACAAACATATATACACATATTAGTATCATTATATATATATGATAACATATGCACAAAATTATGTATGTATATATATATATAACTGGCAAAAACCATAAAACTAAAAGTAATAACAGGAACAGGAATAATATTAATAGTATATTAATTGGTATACCTTGTATCCCCATGCTCCCATCAAATATCCCTATTGCACCATCACTTGGAGCCAGCAACTTGTGCGCCAAGAACTCTTCTGCGATGATTTGGGCGGTGTCTGGGTCATAGGTCACCTTGCAGCAGAGATTGTCCTGCTCACCAGGTAACCTGGTGGCAAAATCTTTTATGTATTTATATTGTATGTGTATATCATGGAATTTCATGGGGAAATTAAAAAATAGTTCTTCATTTTTTTTTTAAAATAATGGAATAACGATTAAAAAACATGGGAATATCACGGGAAATTCCCATCTTTACAATGATAATCATGGAATTTCCCTGTTCAATATACCAGTAGTACCGCACAAGGCGGTGGCGGAAGTTTCAAAAATAGGAAACCTATAGGAGAGATTGGTTGTTGTGAATCAGGGATGGCAGAGCGAATCATTTTGCTTGAGGTCTTCTCTCTTTCTCTCTTTTTCTCTCTGTTTCTCTCTCTCTCTCTCTGATTATCTACCTACCTACCTACCTACCTACTGATCTATCTATCTACCTATCTATCTATCTATCTGTCTGTCTATCTATCTATCTATCTATCTGTCTGTCTGTCTATCTATCTATCTACCTACCTATCTCTCTCTCTTTCTCTCTCCTTCTCTCCTTCTATCTATCGATCAAACTGTCTCTCTATCTATCTGTCCATCTGTCTATCTGTCTATCTGTCTATCTATCTGTATGTGTATCTATGTATCTATGTATCTACCTATCTATCTATCTACCTATCTATCTATCTGTCTATCTATCTATCTATCTATCTATCTATATGTGTATCTATCTGTTTATCTATCTGTTTATCTATCTGTTTATCTATCTGTTTATCTATATGTTTATCTATCTGTTTATCTATCTGTTAATCTATCTAATACTATCTGTCTATCTACCTATCTATCTTATCTTCTCTTATCTTATCTTATCTTATCTATCTTATCTATCTAATCTATCTATCTATCTATCTATCTATCTAATCCTATCTATCTATCTAATCCTATCTATCTATCTAATCCTATCTATCTATCTAATCCTATCTATCTATCTAATCCTATCTATCTATCTAAATCCATCTAATCTATCTAATCCTAATCTAATCTATGGTCTAAAATCCGATCTATCTATCTAATCTCTCTAATTATCTATTATCTAATCCTATCTATCTATCCTAATCCTATTATCTATCTAATCCCTATCTATCTATCTAATCCTATCTTATCTATCTAATCCTAATCTATCTATCTACTCCTATCTATCTATCTATCTAATCCTATCTATCTATCTATCTAATCCTATCTATCTATCTATCTATCTAATCTATCTATCTATCTAATCCTATCTATCTATCTATCTATATCTATCTATCTATCTATCTATCTATCTAATCCTATCTATCTATCTATCTAATCCTATCTAATCCTATCTAATCCTATCTATCTATCTATCTATATGTGTATCTATCTATCTATCTATCTCTTGATCTATCTGTTTATCTATCTGTTTATCTATATGTTTATCTATCTGTTTATCTATCTGTTTATCTATCTGTTAATCTATCTAATCCTATCTGTCTATCTATCTATCTATCTTATCTTATCGTATCTTATCTTATCTTATCTATCTAATCTATCTAATCTATCTATCTATCTAATCCTATCTATCTATCTAATCCTATCTATCTATCTAATCCTATCTATCTATCTAATCCTATCTATCTATCTAATCCTATCTAAAGCTATCTAATCCTATCTATCTATCTAATCCCTATCGATCTATCTAATATCCTATCTATCTATCTAATCCTATCTATCTATCTAATCCTATCTATCTATCTATCTATCTAATCCTATCTATCTATCTAATCCTATCTATCTATCTATCTAATCCTATCTATCTATCTATCTAATCCTATCTATCTATCTATCTATCTATCTAATCCTATCTATCTATCTATCTATCTATCTAATCCTATCTATCTATCTATCTAATCCTAGCTACCTTTCTAATCTTATCTATCTATCTATCTATCTAATCCTATCTAATCCTATCTAATCCTATCTAATCCTATCTAATCCTATCTAATCCTATCTATCTATCTATCTATCTATCTAATCCTATCTACCTATCTCCCTATCTCCCTATCTATCTATCTATCTATCTAATCTAATCTAATCTAATCTAATCTATCTACCGATGTATCTATCTATGTATCTATCTATGTATCTATCTATGTATCTATCTATGTATCTATCTATCTAATCCTATCTATCTAATCCTATCTATCTAATCCTATCTATCTAATCCTATCTATCTATCTATCTATCTCTCTATCTCTCTATCTATCTAAATCAATCTATCTATCTATCTATCTAATCCTATCTATCTAATCCTATCTATCTAATCCTATCTATCTATCTATCTATCTAATCCTGTCTATCTATCTATCTGTCTGTCTGTCTGTCTATCTATCTATCTCCCTCTCTCTCTCTCTCTCTGTCTGTCTGTCTGTCTGTCTGTCTATCTGCAAGCTTGAAAACTAAGCAATTCTGCGAGACTTCCTTAATTTTTGAACGTAACAACATCCAAAACGAAACAATTCTGCAAGACTTCTTCATTTTTTTGCACTTGACAACATCCAAAACAAAGCAATTCTGCGTGACTTCTGCAATTTTTGAACTTGACAACATCAAAAACAAAACAATTTTGCGAGACTTCCTTCAAAAATGGAAAGTTGAGTGCAGCGCTGACAGCCTCGTACCAATGCGTTTTGCGATTTTTCTACTCCACCTCTCTAAAGTACTGCGCCTGCCACGAAAAATTGATGCCAGGTCATACGCAGTGCTGCACCTGTCACGCAAAATCATCTTAGCAAACCTACAGATCTGATGCTCCAAAATGCAACCCCTCTGAGGAAATGAGCGCCCTGACCTCCCAACATCTCTCATGAACATGTCTTTTGTACTGCGCCTGCTACGGAAAATGCATCTTTGCAGATCCTCTTCAAAAGTCCCATGCCTACCATCGTTTTTGGAATTGCTACAAAACCCTCACGTTTTGCTCACTTTCGACAAGATCGACAATCCCTTGCACCTGCCACGCGGAACGACATCTCAACTTCCAAAAGTGGTCCGACACTGAGGTGTTTTGTACATTTTGACTTGGAAATGTGCTTCGCGCAACAACGGCGTGCACTTTTCCGACATCTCAACTTCCAAAAGTGGTCCGAGAATGGTGTGTTTTGTACATTTTGACTTGGAAATGTGCTTCGCGCCACAACGGCGTGCAATTTTTCATCTCTCACCTGGCCAGCTGGCTCCGCACCCGCCGCTTTAGCGAGCCTACTTTTCGACTCTCCGGAGCCTCAAATCATTGGAAAAACATAGTTTTTCGCGACTTTCCTACCTTTTCACGCATCTGCATCTTCTTTCTTCTGACTCTTTCTTCTACTCTTCTCTCTTCTAATCTTTTCTCTTCTCTCTGCCTCTGCCCTACTCTGCTTTTCATCTGTCCATATTGTCGGAAGTTTGACTTCTAAACTTCCTTCGATCATGGGAATATCATCTTTTGAGTTGCTCGGATTTACCTTCTGGGGATTCACTGAGATGATGGTCTGATGGTATGTTGCTGGGGATATCGTGGGGATATCAAGGGGATAATGATGGATAAACAAAATTCCAGTAAATCCAGTGAATGCGGGGATTGTACCAGAAGTAATATTGACGTGTATTCAAGATGCAGTAGTCAACAGATGTAACAATGGCCAGTGAAGCTAAGCACAAACACCTGTTTTAGCGGGCACCTTGAGCCAAACGTTGTTGGCCAAGTAAATGGTTTGATGACCAAAACCCCGGATTACAGGATTAAGGAAATGAGTTATCATTGTCGATAACTATTTGAATAGTCTATTCCCGTTGTAAAAACCCTGACATTATGTACACTTTACAGTCAAAGGCAACAACAATATAGTGGGCTCCGTTTTGGGACCACTATGTGGTATGAACATGCATACACGGCATAGGGGTTATTCGAGTATTTTCTACTCCCCCCTCTCGATTGACTCCGGCCAGTGGTACGTTCGGCACCGACCTAGTCTTCTGGAGCTTTCTGGTATGGAAGAATGCGTGGGGCCTTCTTCTTGTACTTCTTTCTCACATTGGCCTTAGGCTTCGGAGCATCCTGAGTAGGCACAGGTTTTGACTTGTCCTCAGCATAGGAAGGCTGCAGAGACTCATCAAAATTCTCCTGGATCTTCAAACCAGTGTTCGTGGTCCGAGTGACCACATATCCATTGATTATTCCCAGAAGGTCCAACGCGGGTCCCCACAGTTCACCTGCCAATCCCTTAGTGGAGATATCGGCTTTCTGGTAGCGACTGGCAACTAGTTGCAAGTCCACATCGTCCTTGTCCAGTTCCTCTTTGAGGCTACCTAAGTTTATACGATGTGTTCTCTTCATATGTCGCAAACGCTTGGAATAGCCAGCAGAAACCACCTTTGCTGTGGCTTCGTTATCTTCTCTGATTAACAAGCGCACTGACTTTCTGAATAATACTGAAAACAGCTCTAGCAACGGCAGACCTTCATCAAATAAAGTAGTAGCCATCGCTGCAGCCTCAGCTTCAGTTGTCGATCTGGAGACCGCACCTTGCTTTTTGGACATCCAGGTCAGTGGAAAACTCTTTCCACTTAGCTGTACCCACCCACCAGTTGTGGAATATGTGTGCTCGTCATCACCACAAAAGTCTGCATCGCAGAACAGCTCAACATAGATGTCATTCAAATCATCATCTACATGGCCAGTGAGTAAGTGGTCTTTTGTTTCATTCAAATAACTAATCGCCCTGAAAAGATGGTTGTCACACTCCGTGGTCCACTGTTGCACCTTAGTAGCTAACCAAGTGGTTACTCTCAGCATATCAGGCCGCGACAATCGCGCCAACCACATCAGTTTCATAAGGACCGAGCTGGCTGAACCTGAAAGTTCGCCCTTAGTCGGAGCCTCCTCAAGCACAGTGGTCTTTGAGAGAAATGGTGTGCTAACTCTCTTCAGTTTTGCGTGACCTATCAGTCGAACATAGTCATTGACA